GCTTTTCCCAGTAATTTTAGTGCGTTTGTTCTCTTATTGTTCATGTTTACTCATCAAGCAGACAAGTGGAAAACACGATCACTAGACTTTGCAATTGACTTATATCATAGTCCACAGACTGCTTTATCTCCTCCTCAAATATTATAGCCCCTCAATCTAATGCCCACATAAATAACATAATATGGAACGCACTAATTTAAACTTCACCAAATGTTCCCTACTGTACCAACCTAAGTTTTCAACATTTACCATCATATTATGTCTTAGAAGCACAATCAATTAAACTGAAAATAATTTTTCATTTGGATCCTTGGCTTATATTTGTTTCAACCCATCCTATTACCTATTTCTTTTTCTTTCCCAAAATTGCTAGAATATTCCAATGCGATCAATTTGTTTGACATTGCCTTTCGTTTCATTCTTTGAAATTTTCTTAGATGAATGCCGCCTTTCATTTCATTCTTTGAAATTGTCTTAGATGAATGTATTTTTATATAAATAACTGTTTATCTCTACTGACGGTTCTTTCATGTTCTAGGAGAATTCAGGCTTCCTCCTTAGTTGCATGACTGAAAAGATATTACTAATTGTCATTGGCCGTCAAGGTACTTTCATTTGTGGCCCATATTTGCTCATAAATGATGGTAATGAACTGATGATGATTTTTTGTACTTAAAGCAATAGAATCATATGATGGAACTTATAGCCAATATCTACCACAAGCAATTGAAAGGACCTAAATCAAACCTACATTCACCTTAATTGCTCTTATTCTCATTTTCTTACTATATTTTCAAAGACCAATACTCAGTAACTTTTCGCTTAAGAGTCGAGAGGCATCTTACTCACATATAGTTGTGGAAAACATAGAATGCATGGAGTTAAAAGAGTAGTATATTGAGTTTTCTAAGCTTACACTTTTCATAATTTTTAAACTGTGTAAATTTGAAATTGTTGAAATTATGACTGACATATGGATTGAAATTATGACTGACATATGGATAGAACCAAAATTATGGCCAAGAGCATAACTTTTTTTAAAAAAACAGTAAAAGATTTGATTCTATGCAATTCACAACTATATGATCATAATATAGGAAAAACATATATGCAACATCCAGAAAAATCATTCCTCAAAACTACACCTGCTCCCTTTATTTCTTACTCTCCCCAGTTGATACAAGCTGAAGAAGATGCCTAGGAAATATGATGCAAATGTGCATCAAGCAATCATAGGGATTGATGCAAACAAAGACTACCTAAAAGGGCATGCACTACATGCAAAGGGAATCCTAACGGTCAATATATAAAATGAGAATGTAATCTGGATAATGAAATGAATAATTAAACGGCAAGATCTAGGTTATAACAATAATCAATTATAATTACGAACTGCACTAGCTCTCTCGATATTTAGAAATTATCAACTTAATACACAGAATTACAAGGGTTTAACTAAAGGGTTGAGAAACTCATACCAACACTACAAAGACTCTGAAATTGACTCTGTTGCACATGATGATAGACCTTCCGAAGCATCTCAGGAACAACAGAATCAAGTTTAGATTTTGAATACAATGTACCAAGTGGGTCTGAACTCCAGAGAACAACAACAGTTTAGATTGGAGCTACGACAAAGACCAAGGGTGGTGAATAATGGGCAGAGAGGAAGTCCAGAGTTCGCCTGAGCCGTGCATGTCAACATCACAGATACTAAAGGTTGTCTGCAGTCATCGAAGTTGGGGTTGCCAGCTTGTCTTAGTTGGTGACAAGCAGGGGATAGCAGGTGCCAGCAGGCTTTGAATGAAGTCTAAGTCACAAGGTCAAGCATGGAAAAGAACTGGGATGAGCTTCATCAGAGTTTGGTGCATTGACCATGAAAGTCAGGTTATGAGGTAGGATGAGAATGGGTCGGTCAATGGCGAAGGCGGTGTCATCAGGTCAGATGGTGATATCGGATGGATGATTGGGTGCTGGTGTTTTACGTCGAGGCCCGAGTGGAGCTCGGGATAGGAACACAATAAGAGAGGTTAGGGTAGACACTCTCGAATAACATCATTATGATATCTTGCTGACGTTTGCAACAAATTTAAAATCGTGAAGTGGCGGGTGTTTGAGAAGAATTTGAATCAGGATTTTTGCTTTACAATTTGAAATCAATGATTGAGATTTGAGGAAGGGTTTGGCCATAAGGTTGGACATATCACTAAGGAATTTAAGACTCATGGGCCTCACACCTTTAGTGACTCGCAAGTCAGCAACTCACATGTTATAGGATTCATCACAGAGAATTTCAATTCTAATTAGTCTTGGTGTATCACCTAGCAGACTTTACGTATCATCAATTGTAAAGCAGCAGGTGTCCGAGAAGAATTTGAATCAGGAACTTTGCTTTATAATTTGAGATTAATGATTGAGATTTGAGGAAGGGTTTGGCCGTAAGGTTGGACATATCACTAAGAAATTTAAGACTAATGGCCTCACACCTTTAGTGACTCGCACCGACAGCAACTCACATGTTATAGGATTTATCACAGAGAATTTCAATTTTAATTAGTCTTGGTGTATCTCCTAGCAGAGACTTTACATATGATTTATAAAAGAAACCTAATGCATCACACGTGCAAAACAGATAGAACCAAGTAATCTTCCTAACAAATCTCAACTAAAGTAAACATAAATCTAATCTAACTACAGGTCTCAACTTAACAATTATATAAAAAGAATATAATGATTAAACATATGCTAAAATTTGACTTATTGTATACTCTAATAAGTTTGCAGAAGGAACAATTAATGACTCTTTATAAAATAACTAGACAACTATAGCTTTCTAAATTCAACAGTTTAATGTTGTTTTCCAGTTTCCATTTTAGTTTCTGGTGTATAAATGAAAGTAAACCAATTCAAATATGAAACCTGAGCAAAGAAGTAAGAGAAGTGTAGGATGTGTGCAAGAAATGTGTTACAAAGTGTTCTATATTAAAGCATGTATCATACAAATGAAGAGAGAAATATTTGATACATGTAGGGGTGTCCAACAAAGTATCAACGTCTAACAGCAATGCCCATATATCTGTCATAGAGCTAAAAATATTTGAGCTACTAGATAGCAGGTAATTCCCCTACATGGTAAAAAAACAAATATTGAAACAAATCCCATATTTATTCTTAATCCTAACAAAATAACCAAATTTTGATTCTAACTAACATCGAAATAGCAATGTTACAAAAGGCGCTAGGCGAACTAAACGTTTGAGCCAACGCCTAGCGTCTAGGCATATTATGCCTACGCGGCGCCTAAACGTTTTGCTATTTTTTAAAATATTTAATTATAATAATTGATAAAAGTATGTAATAAATATGCAACCTTAGATCCACAATAAACAATGCATACTTATATACTAAACAGCCAAAATAATAACTAATAAGGTTATAAAAAACGCTAGGAGGCCTAGGCGTTGGACCCGACGCCTAGAGCCTAGGAGTTTTCTTTTTTATTTCTTAATTATAATAATTGATAGTAAATATCAATGTTAAAGAAAGCTTAGGTGTTAGACTAGTGTCTAGGCGGATTTCTTTCTTCATTTAAGTGGTGATCGAGGAGGTTCTGCTGAAGGTCAGAAGAGATAATGGAGATGTTCATAATTGGAGGTTAAAGGAGTTTGAGGGAGGTTGGAAGACGTGAAGGCCGCAACATAGAAAATCACGATCAATGCCTAAAGGGTACAGTCTACGTAGTCTACGTAAGCAGACAATGCTCCTCTAAACACTCCTAAAATCTAGGTAGGTAGCTTAGGTACCGCTCAGGCGCTAGGCGCTAGTTAGGCGGCCTAGGTACCGGCTAGGCTTGGGCGTACGCCTAAGTAGGCGGACTAGGCGGAGGCTTTTTAAAATAGTGCAAAATAATACAGATTCACCCATATCCTAAGGAGCAAGTATCGTGCGGAAGTTCACTCATCAAAGAAGGTACTAGAATCTATAATATATAGTATATTCCTCCAGTTTATGCGACCATTTACTCTTAAATCCTAATTCAAGATAAAAATCCATCTAGACATGCATTCAAATTAAAATCTTAACTGCCAAGACTCCAAATCTTACAAGAATCAAATGCTTACATACCCTAAGTACCGCTCTAGAAGAATCAAGATGGCAGATAGGTTTACTATTAAGGTCAATATAGTTCTAGATAGCAAAAAAGGGGACACATTGAGCTAAAGTGATTTGGGGCTAAAGATGACTACGAAATCAGATCTGCGTGACAAGAGATCCTTCAAGTAGCCCAAAAGATCAAAACAGCCTATAAAGGCTTATGATGGCCCTGAGAAAGCAAGCTGATTACAAGTAAGCAACCAACTGCATGCAAGGTTGTAAACCCAGAAGGTAAACAATATGCATAAAAGAAATATGTCAAGGCCATCCAGTAAAAAAAATGACAATTGTGCAAATCAGAATGATTGTAACAACCTGCTATTGCGGAATCAACAAAAACAAATAGCAGTGGTTAAGGATGATTTTAGCAGCCCAGACTGGCATATATCAGTTAAACAAGTTGTTCCAAGAGTCGAGATAGTATAACAATCAACAAAAGGAACAATCATAACTTAATATTATCTCATTAAATGCCTAATCAAAAGGCCACAAAGATCTAGAAATCACAGCAATCCTGCTCCAAAAAACAAATATGACAGAACATATACTCGCTCTACTATATTTTCCCCCAAGTTTTTCCCATCATTTGATCAGCATGTACACGGGATCAGTGCATACACTCGAACTTGAAACCCCTAAACACTGATCAAACTCCGATACTAACAAGAGCCAATCGAATGCGATTCCCAAGTAAAACCCCACAAGACTATGACAGCAAACGAAAATCTAAAAATTAGTCAATATAGCTCTGCGTTAACCAAATCGAACCGATCATCAGTGAAACAATTCATTCGACTAATAACCTGACCCCTAGCGAACTTCAATGGGTCCAAGCAGTTCCTTACCATGATTACCACAATGGAGATCACCGCCATGGTCGCGATGCCCATAAGATCGCCGTTGGCGGGAGGCCGAGGAGCATTATCCAACCTCTGCTGGTGCTGATCCATGGAGATTCCTTTCTTCTTGTGGCAGAGAGAGAGGGAGAACCTCAAGGTCAACTGAGCAGTAGAGGCAGTTAATTAGGGAGAGGAGATTTGTTTATCGGCGGATTGTGGTGCTTCGCGAGGGATTTTAAGGGAACGCGACTCGCGCCCGGTGTAAATGGGACGCGAGAGGGAACCGGCTTGAACCCTAGTAGCCAGAAAAATCGTTTTGCCCGATCGGTTTTGGGACCTCTTCTAGCTTTCTATTTTTGGCTAATCAGCACGGAAACAACTGACAGTTTTTGCTACTTTGCACTTATATGTACTCTAACTCGCTTTTGGCAGCATTCATGTAAGGCTAATTAGCCCTTAAATACCTTATTGTTTCTCCTAATTTTCACTTATGTACTTCATTTCATTTGTTTTCAAGAGCACTTATAGACCCTGAAGTTTTTTTAATTGTCACTTATAATATACATTTTCTTATGTATACGTGAAAATTTTCCTCCGAACTTTTAGATCTTTTGAACCGGTAATGCTTGTTTTATTTACGATTAAACTTGTCCAATTCCATTATAAAATGGAATTGGGGTTGATTTAAAAAAGATTTATGCTAGGTTTAATGATAAATTCAACAAAAATTAAGGGTTAAGAAGGTCTAAAATTAGCATGTAGATATTAAATGAGAATATTCGAGGAAAACTATCACGTTTACATAACATAAGATATATAAATGTCAATCTTAAAAAGTTTAGGGTGTATAAGTGCTACCAAAAATACGTGAGGGTTTATAAGTGCAAACTGAAGGAAATGTTGAAGTATTTTAAGTATAAAAATTAGCTTCTATGTAACTTAAAGTTAATAAAAAATTTTATTTTAATGTATTCTATTATGCAAAGATAAGAATATTTCCCAAAATTCTCATGTGACACTTATTACTTTTAGAATTTTTCAATCCCTAATTTTCTTAATTTATTGTTGAACCTATCAAATTCTATTTTTAAAATAGAATTATGGTAGATTTAAAATAGAATCAATGTAGATTTAATAGTAAATTATAAAACTTATTATTAAAAACTTCTAAAATTGGCATAGGATTGTCATATGGGAATTTTGATGGAATATTGTCATGCTTGAATAATAAGATATATTAAACAGCAAAATTTAAAAATTTGAGAACATATATTTGCTGCCAAAATAAGTGATACATATAAGTGTAGCGGGGAAACTAAAAGATATTTAGAGGATTTTTTAATAACTAATTAGAGGGTGTATTGTGATGCCCCAGGGTTCACACAAGGCTGTAGTCCAAGGTGAAACCCGGATTGTCAAACCTGTCAAGCACCAAACACCATGTTACGCTATCTCTCTAGTAGAAACAACAAATAGGTGAAGGTACAAAACAGGCAAATAATAGAAGTATTACAAAATCAGATATGCACAGAAGAAGTATATCAACAAATGAGCCCAACTGAAATAGAATGAAAATATCTCTGAGTCAGAAATACATCTCAACACAATGAGTCAAATGAAATCTCACTGAGGCACTCAGCCTCTACAAAATGAATACAACTCTAAAATCTAAACAATGAACATAACTATATAGTGGAGCTTCAACTGCTAAAATTGTGTGACGACGACTATGCTAGAACTCCGTCATCCTGTGGCTCTCCGAAACTCTGATCTGCCTGAAAGATATAATTTAAATAAAAGAACAACAACAAGAGCGTCAGAGCGCTACAGCAAGATCACCTTCATCTGCCCTCAGGGGAAGGGCTGCTAGATGAAGTGGAGGCTCTATCTATTAAGCATAGTCTACCTATATCATTTTTCCTACTAATATGATAGCGGTCCAATTTGGTGATTTTCCCCCAGTAGTAACGGCGGACGGCGTCGTCCCCATTTGCAAGGGAGAAATATGTCTGAAGAATGCTGACTTGCATAGTCAGAAGGACAGGGGGTTGGTGCCCCTCACTACCCCAAAAGGGGTATTAAGCATAGTCTACCTATATCATTTTTCCCGTATCTAATGGAGTTAATATTTAGACACCTACAAGACAAGACGTAGTACGTCGAGAGAAGTAATCCAAACAAGGAAACCCTCATATATATATCATATGTCTCAAATTATAGATCCATAAATACAAATTTCCAACTCTATGAATGAAAACAACACTCAAAAGAAAATACTCCAAGCCTAAACCATATAGGACCAATGTCACAATCTCAAACTACATTCTCAAGTAGTTGGCGCAAATATAAGAGAAAATCATCCAACTCAAAAAAAAATCACCATAGGCCATATCTTGTATGCCATGAAACAAAGAATGTACCCTACTCATGGGTAATCTAACATAGGAGTAACTATAACTGATAATACATATATGTGTGCATCTCTTTATGCAATAGCGATACTCTTGTAATATTCTTACTCAATGGCTCTGTGACAATAGGTTTTATCTCCATATCCCGGATACATGGAATGACGATACTTTTGTAATTTCTTACTCAACCGTCCTGCGCAAATAGGTTTTATTATCTCCCTATTCCGGATACATGTAATAACGATACTATTATAATACTCTTACTCAATCGTTCTACGGTAATAGGTTTTATCTTCCTATTTTCGGATACATATAATAATGATATCATTGTAATACTCTTACTCAATCGTTCTGTGGTAATAGATTTTATCTTCCTATTTTCGGATACGTGAAAGATCAAATACTAGTCATGTGTATTTATAAAATTTAACTTGTGACAAAAGTGTGTTAATTCAACACAAACTACGCATAAGTACACATATCTCGGTGTGCGTGTCCACATCTAAAGTTCACCATCATCCCAGATGTTTAACAAGTCATAAATGTTATAATATAATAGTACAAGGTCGAGAGACTCGCTCAAAGACCAAAACAACCGAACAAAACATGCACAGGCTCAAAAGAGGTTGGCGGTCGACCGCAATTATGCGACGGTCAACCGCGATAGGTTTTCAGGGTTTCCCAGGCTGCTGCTTGGCATGCGGTCGACCGCCATTTAGGCGCGGTCGACCGTGGACAGATTTTCCAGACTGTGGAGGTTTCTGCACTGTGTTGTATTCATGTCGATTTTTGTGATCTAAACTAGTTTAAAACATGTGAAACTTGCATGAAAACATGACAACAACAGATACATACTTCTAGAAACAATCTCAACATATATAGCATGAATATTTGCAACAAGAAACATGCTTAACCCTTAAACTTTCATAAAACATAAAACAAACTCTTGTGTTAATTAAATTAGGGTTCTTCCAACCTAATTACTCAAATTCTTCTATCTAAAGCATGGACTTTTAACATATTAAACATAAGCATGATTGCCAAACAACTTAGAAAAGATATACATTTATTAAATCATATTTTTAACACTTAGGTAGGTTTTCTCATCTTTAATCCACATGTAAACTCAATTAAAATTCAAATTAGGATTTAAACATGATTAGCACATGATTAACAAGATAAAAATGAATTTAAAACAACCCTAATGTTCATGATCATATTTATATTATAAACAGTAAGAAAAACATGTAGATCTAACATTTGTTTAAGATCTAACAACAAAAATCTAATCTTTTTCACATTAGATTAAGATCTAAGTATATAAACACAAATTAAACTTCTAAGCTAGTTATTTAACTATGGGGTTGGGTTTGGATGTAAGTGATCTTGCCTTAATCTCATGTGCAAGCCTCTAAAACAATCAGCAAGCAAACCATGAGCATGAACAACCCGTTCTCCCTCGCTACACGTCGATGATCTCGCCCTCGTGCCGGTGTTTTGCTTCACAAAGCTCTCCAAACTCATAAGAAAAATGTCTAGGGTTTTTTAGGGGAGAGGGTGGCTGCTAGGGTTCATAGATATGATAAAAAAAAAGAATTTTCGTGAAAAACACAGGTATTTATAGAGGCAAATCCGAAACAAACATGTTTGACCCGAACCAGGAAACCTAGTTTGACTAGGAAAACAACCTTCGGTATTTTGGCTGTAACTTTCTCATCCGACCTCGGAATGAGGTGATCTAAGATTTGTTGGAAAGCTATTAAAGAGACCTACAACTTTAATCTTTACACTTTTCTAGATTCTAATTGTATCGGTGTGTAACATATAAAAACTCTTAACTGGTCATTATTATCAGATTTTCACTCTTTTGGCCTTTGTGCATGTTTCGTGCATTTGCTTACATATTTTCACAAATATACATTAATTTGATCTTAAATCAATTCTTATCATACTCAAACATCAAAATATGTTATTTTTCACCATATAATATATTTATCATTATTTATCATAAAATATTCAAATTTACGGGGTTTTACATGTATAGGGGAGCTTTTTTGTTAAACTAGCTTTTATGTTCGCTTTTTCATATTTACTTATTTGATAAATACCAAATAAGCTAGGTTTTTTAAGTCCCATTTGAAAAGCTAGTATACATCAGGTTTTGAAAAACTAGCTTATAAGATCGCATAAATAAGCTAGATTTGACCAAATAAATTACTATTTTATCTAAACAAATGTTATGCAATTTTTATCATAAAAGTCAAAAGCCACGAAAAACTAATAGCTTAAAAGTTCCTAAAACTAAGCCCCTCTAAAACAGCCTCTTAAGTGCTTATACGATTTTTCTTGTTTTTGGTTTTTAAGATATTAGTCCCTTAAATTATAGGTATTTTAATATTAGTCACCCGAATCTTCATATTTTGTGATCAGTACCCCCAAACTCGCCTTAATATTTTGATACTAGTCCTTCCATCAGCTTAATGTGTTGATTTTTTTTACTAACCATAGATGTGTAATTACCTTATTACTCCCCCTCTCTTTTCTCTTACCTCCTCCTCCATTTTCCCCATCTCTTCCATTATTTGTCCCCTTCCTCCATATGTATTCTCGCCTCCTCCTCCATCTCTAGCTCTGTCATCTCTACATGTGCCTTCTCTATCTCCACCACCATCTCTGCCTCTACCATCTTGACCACCATCGGTGTTCTCGCCTCCATCTCCTCCACCACCTCCTCCACCCTCATCACCTACTCTATTAATATTCTTACCTTCTCCACCATCTCCATCATCGTGTGCATCTATAATGTCACCACCATCATTTAAGTATATGAAGAAGGAGAGAGGGGTATAATTGCCTACTTAAAAAAGTTAAAGAAAAATAGAATTTTGCCA